ATTTATTGAAGGCCATAAATTGAATTTGAGTAGTTGTAATGAAAAGGAAATGAAATTAAGATGCAACAAATACCAGTCAAAATGAATTCCGATTGACAATACTTCATCAAATAAAAATGAAAGAATCAGAACAATAAGCGAGTCATTTCTAAATAGCAGACATAAAAATTTGGTAGACAATATCAAGTGTGAAAAGATTCCCGTTATGATGTTTGGGATGAAGTCCAAATAATGGATAAGCAACATCACGGGAAAATGATAGACTTGAAGGAAACAACATACGTTAGCTAGTCGATAAGACAGTTACGTGTGGATTTCAGTAGAGTGTATGTTTTTCTGGATTGACATCAAAAGAAATAGAGAGCATACCTATGTATAAATATGGAATCGCCTGTGTTATGGAATCGCCTGTGTTATTATGCTGGGAATGTTATCGTCAATGTGTCACGCGATGTGGTGAAAAAGTCAGTATGTTAGCCAAAGTTTCACTTGTTTTCAACGTATATTTTTTACTGAAATGAAACCCAAATTTTTCCTTCGTAGATAATAGAATCGGATTAGGATAGTAGAAGGTTGTTGAACGGTAATAGTAGTGATAATATTAGCGGTAATAACAATAGCAATATTAAAGGTAATGATAATATCAGCGGTAATGATAACATCAGCAGCAATGGTAATGGTAATATTAGCGGTAATGGTAATATCAGCGGTAAAGATAACATCAGCAGCAATGGTAATTGTAATATTAGCGGTAATGGTAATATTCGCGGTAATGGTAATATTAGTGATGATGGTAATATTATAGGTAATGGTAATATTCGAGGTAATGGTAATATTAGTAATAACGGTAATATTAGCGGTAATTGTAATTTTAACTGTAATGGTAATTTTAGCGGTAATGGTAATATTAGCGATAATGGTAATTTTAATTTTAGCGGTAATGGCAATATTTGCTGTAATGGTAATATTAGCGATAATGGTAACTACTAATTATCAATAATGGTAATATTAGCGGCAATGTTAATGGTAATATCGGTTGTTTACTTATATGGATACATTCGGCATTCATTGACCGACCTGCCAGTGCTACAGTTGGTTGAAATTTATAAATTCAGGAAAATAAGTTTCTCAAGTCCACTAACTCTTGTCGCTCTTTCAGGCTTACAATCATACCACGTTGAAACACGGGTTCCTGTACGATCACTGAAGCTAAGCAACGTTGTACCTGGTCAGTATCTAGATGGGTGACAGCTCGGGTGCTGTTAGTTTGGATGTGCGCGTGGTGTAATGGATAATGTCTCGGGATGAGAAATCAGAGAGTCGAATTCGAATTCCAGTCGGGTTCGCTAGATTCACTTATGTGCAAATAGCGCTGGGAAAGGTATGAATCCATCTGCGCTCAAATACCGGCTATGGATTAATTAGTAAGACTTGTATTAGAAAATCCTTATTATCCTCAAAACTTTCTTATAATACAAAAAATATATTTTGGCTTTAAATAATCTTAAAAAGGTTGATAGCCGTAAAAAAACAAATCAATCAATTATCGCTCTTTCCAGTTTTTGTGATGTCTACGAACACTCGTTTGACACTTTTGTAATGCCAACGAATACTCGTTGTCACTTTCGTAATGCTCGTTGTAGTAGAGATTTGTAATCGCAGATGCAACCTATAGTAACGCCGTTGAACAATAATAGTGCCAGACGCCTTCGAATAACACTTGCTTGATAATACTCGCTCGGAAGTATAGTAACATAGAATAGGAAGTGTGATCCTGTGCGATCACGTGATCTACTTATTCACAATGGGATCACCTGTGTTTGCTCTCTGGCGATCTATGTTCAAACTACAGTGTCGGCAGCGACACTTTATTCGTATATAACACCAGTATAGAATAGGGGTTTCGTTCCTAACATCTTGATTATGTCATTATTTTCTTATCCAGTTATGGTTATTTTGTAATCGTAATTTAAATGTGGCTCAAAGCCGAAAGTATGGGGTACCAATGAGGATTCGGTCATGTTTGATCTAGTGAGACAAGCTTGATAACCATTGCACCACGTCAAAATGCCCTATTTTCTAAGCGGAGCTTATATTTGGTTCAAGGCCGAAAGTGTAGAGCACTCAATGAGGATCAAACTCACTACACAGTCGTAACTGATCTAGCGAGACAAGCTTGTTAACCATTACACCACGTCGAAGTGCCCCTCCCTTCGAGTTATGTGTGCTATCCATTTCAGTGGTTGCTTTTGTTGAAACTTATCAACTGATGTGTGTTTTGTTGTTGTTTGGTATGCTTCTTTGTTTGTGATTCTGTAGCGCCAGTTCACGAGTTTTGAAATAGATCGATGAAAGTGAAGGGTAAAACGGCAGGAACACGAAGAATGATTTGATTGATTGGTTTATTTTTTACGGATTATCAATCCATTGCAGATTATTTAAAGCCAGCAATTTTTTAAATTGTAAGAATTTAGTTTTTGAGATAATAATTATTTTACTGCTATAAGTTCTAGTAATTAACACATAAGTGGAAGCAAAGTGAATTCATATCTTCCCTATGTGCGCATTAGTGGATATAACGAACCCGACATGAATTGGAATTTGGCTCTCCGATTTCCAATTCCGAGCCATTGCCTATTACACCCTCCGCACACCCAAGCTTACAGAAACTGGTATCCCGGAGCATGTGAACATAACGGACCTGGCTGGTATTGGTCTCGGCTCTCTGATTTCCAATTCCGAGCCATTGCCTATTACACTTCCCGCACACCCAATCTTACAGCAATTAGTATTCTGGAACATAAATGAACATAACGGACCTGACTGGAATTGGTCTCGGCTCACTGATTTCCAATTCCGAGCCATTGCCTATTACACTTCCTGCACATCCAATCTTACAGCAATTAGTATTCTTGAGCATAAATGAACATAACGGACCTGGCTGGTATTGGTCTCGGCTCTCTGATTTCCAATTCCGAGCCATTGCCTATTACACCCTCTGCACATCCGAGCTTACAGCAATTGTTAACCCGGCGCATAAATGAACATAACGGACCTGGATGAAATTGGTCTCGGCTCCCCGATTTCCAATTCCGAGACATTGCCTATTAGACCCTCTGCACATCCAAGCTTACAGCAAGTGGTATCCCGGAGCATAAATGAATATAACAGACATGACTGGAATTGGTATCGGCTCCCTTATTTCCAATTCCGAGCATATTGCCTATTACACCCTCCGCACATCCAAGCTTACAGCAACTGGTATCCCGGAGCATGTGAACGTAACGGACCTGGCTGGTATTGGTCTCGGCTCTCCGATTTCCAATTTCCGAGCCATTGCCTATTACACCCTCCGCACATCCAAGCTTACAGCAAGTGGTATCCCGGAGCTTAAATGAATATAACGGACATGGCTGGAATTAATCTCGGCTCCCTGATTTCCAATTCCGAGCATATTGCCTATTACACTCTCTGCACATCCAAGCTTACAGCAATTGGTATCCCGGCGCATAAATGTACATAACGGACCTGACTGGAATTGGTCTCGGCTCACTGATTTCCAATTCCGAGCCATTGCCCTATTACACCCACCCACATCCAAGCTTACAGCAAGTGGTATCGGGCCTGTGACATAACAGACCTGGCTGGTATTGGTCTCAGCTCCCTGATTTCAATTCGAGCCATTGCCTCTTACACTCTCTGCATCAAGCTTACAGCAATTGGTATCCCGGCGCATAAATGTACATAACGGACCTGACTGGAATTGGTCTCGGCTCACTGATTTCAATTCCGAGCCATTGCCCTGTACACTTCCGCACATCAATCTTACAGCAATTAGTATTCTTGAGCATAAATGAACATAACGGACCTGGCTGGTATTGGTCTCGGCTCTCTGATTTCCAATTCGAGCCATTGCCTGTACACCCTCAGCACATCAAGCTTACAGCAATTGTTAACCGGCGCATAAATGAACATAACGGACCTGGATGAAATTGGTCTCAGCTCCCCGATTTCAATTCGAGACATTGCCTAATAGACCCTCTGCACATCCAAGCTTACAGCAAGTGGTATCCCGGGCATAAATGAATATAACAGACATGACTGGAATTGGTCTCGGCTCCCTTATTTCCAATTCCGAGCATATTGCCTATTACACCCTCCGCACATCCAAGCTTACAGCAACTGGTATCCCGGAGCATGTGAACATAACAGACCTGGCTGCTATTGGTCTCGGCTCTCCTTTTTCCACTTTCGAGCCATTGCCTATTACACCTCCCGCACACCAAGCTTACAGCAACTGGTAACCCGGAGCATGTAAACATAACGGAAATGGCTGGAATAGGTCTCGGCTCTCCGATTTCCAATTCCGAGCCATTGCCTATTACACCCTCCGCACATCAAAGCTTACAGCAACTGGTAACCCGGAGCATAAATAAACATAACGGACCTGGCTGGAATAGGTCTCGGCTCTCCGATTTCCAGTTCCGAGCCATTGCCTATTACACCCTCCGCACACCCAAGATTACAGCAACTGGTATCCCGGAGCATGTGAACATAAAAGACCTGGCTGGTATTGGTCTCGGCTCTCCGATTTCTAATTTCGAGCCATTGCCAATTACACCCTCCGCACATCCAATCTTACAGCAACTGGTATCCCGGAGCATGTGAACATAACGGACCTGGCCTGAATTGTTCTCGGCTCTCCGATTTCCAATCCCGAGCCATTGTTTATTACACCTCCCGCACACCTAACCTTACGGCAATTGGTATCCTGCAGCATAAATGAACATAACGTATCTGGCTGGAATTGGTCTCGGCTCTCTGATTTCCTATTCCGAGCCATTGCCTATTACACCCCCCGCACATCCAAGCTTACAGCAACTGGTTTCCCGGAGCATAAGTGAAAACTGACCTGGCTGGAAATTGAACTCGGCTCTCCAATTTTCAATTCCGTGTATTTATCAATTACATTATCCGCGCCTCCCAGTTTAATTCTGTTGGTTTTCCCTTATGATCACTCATCTAGGTACTGACCAGGTTAGATGTTGCTTAACTTCGGTGATCGTACGAGAACCGGTGTTTCAACGTCCTATGGCTGTAAACCAATGATAGCAAGCGTGAAACTTTTGGAACATATTGCAAAATTTATTTTATTTCTTCCTCTGCGTTAAATGTAATTTCATTTTTTACTGTATTAATAAAATATATAGGTTACTTCGTCTTTCCACTCAATTAATGCTAAACACTGCAGAACTCTAATAAGTTTTATGGTAATTTATTTATTTATTTTATTTTTCGCGTTCATTTATTATTAAAAAAAAAAAAAAAACAAGTCATAAAAAAAAAAAAAAAAACCTTACAAGTTAGAGTCAGGCGAAAAGAAGCATATGTATGGAATACCGGAAGAATCAAAATAGATATGTTGGTGAATGCACACTTATAACGAGAAATAAAATCCCGTTTATGTAGTGAATAGCGGACAGATGTTTCGTATAAAGTTTTCTCATTTAGATCAGCGGAGTAAGATGTTTTGATTCATAGCAAACTCCAAGATACTCCTTTTTCCTTGGCAGAAGGCCAGTCGGGGGGCGATATAGCTCAACTGGACAATTTTGAGATGAAAGACATTTCTAACATTGGGACCAATATACCCTTTCATATTTCCTACGTTTAGCTTAGTACTGGACAAGGCCACGTATTTTGGGGTACACTGAGTTGATGAGTTTAGTTATAGCAAGCTTCCTAAGCTATTTTTTCATACGGAAGAGACGAGGAGAGTTAGGTCAACTATAATATCAATTTCAAATAGAGAAAAAAAAACCTTTTTAAGTAGATGGAATTTTAATTTATTAAAAATTATTTTTGGATTCGATTGGAATTCGAACTCAGCTCTCCGATTCCTCAATCCGAGCCGAAATCCATTACTAGAATTCAAAAAGGAAAGCTGTGAAATTTTCTCAAGTATTTCTGGTATTTTCTAGTACACTTAATTGTCTGATTCTGTCTATATTGTTTTTATCATTTCTTGACCAATCGTTACATTTTTGTTTCTCATTTTGAATGCACGCCATTTTGAATTAGAGTTCCATCTTGTTAACACAATCGGAAGCAAAACTTTACAAAATGAGGTGTTTATCAAATTTCTCCCAGCTGCAAAATAAACTGTTTGTTCAGGAAATGATTAAAATAAACGGAGTAGTTTTAGTGCAATATAAAACCAGAGATAAGGGTTCAAATTCAGTTAGCACTAAAATACAATCCAATTTGTTGTATCAATTTATATATTTCATTAGAGTGAATGAAAGACTTTATATTGCTTAAATGTAATTAAGTACCGAGTCCATTTTGGTTAAATTAGTTTCTTTAGCAAGTGCTGAATTACTTTCGAGTGATTGTCGCAGATGTTGTTGTGTCATTGTAGAAAAATATCTCATCATTCTTTTTTTTCTTCTTTATGTGAAGTGTTCCCTTAGGACGTAGGCAATCATGGCTCTTCACAACTTCCTCTCCCTTGCAGTTCTTAACAAACTTTGTCTTTCTTGTTATTTTCCCTGAGCCCTGTTCCGCTATCTATTTATTCAAGCTCCATAAGTACGTTATGCATTGTTTTCCTCTGTCCTTCTTGTCGTTTATCTTTCCCGTGAGTATCAGATTTTCCAAGCACTCCTTCCTCATTAAGTGTCCCAGAAACCTCAAATGTCTTTTCCTGATGTTAAGTATTAGTTTCAATTTTGTTTACATTTTCTCCAAAACTTCGTCGTTGCTCACATGTTCAGCATCCTTCTGTAGAACCACATTTCTGTTGCTTCCACCACAATGGTTGACAAGGAAACAGTTGAGGATTGAGTGCCTGAGCAAATTACGCGCCGTTACCTACATTCTTTATCCAGACAGCGGATGTAAAGTTTTTCAAACCGTTTTGAGGCCGCATTGGTCGCCTTCGACCTCCATCTGTAATACTTTTTAATATTATCCCTGAGTCAAAGTCAATGCACGCACACGCACGCACACACAGGCACATATGCGCGCGCATACACGCACATGCAAATCTATGCACACGCATGTACGCACACACATGAACGCTCACATGCATACATACACACACACATGTAGACATACGCATACACATACATGAACATCTTCGTACACGCTGACACGCACATGCAAACACGCACACACAGGCATGCACACACATACGCGCACTCACACGCACACACACACATACTTGCACACTCCCGTGCACAAACACCTGCACACACATGCACATATACATGCACACACAAAGACATGCACACGCACGCACACACACACACGCACACACACACACGCACACACACACGCACACACACACGCACACACACACGCTCTCTCTCTCTCTCACACACACACACACACACACACATATATATATATGTAATTATATATATATATATATATATATATATAAATAAAAAGAAAGAACAGTAAGATATAAAATCCGGTGTTCTTATAGATATTTTATTTTTACAAAATAGTGCTCAATGTAAATTTACAGAGCATTAATATTATAAATTAATTGATTTAAAATATGGTTATTTTCGCTACACAGTTCCAACCATACTAATGCTTTTAATTTAATTGCAAAAATAAAATTAGGAGTTTTTAGCTTCTATTTTTGAAACATGGTTGGAACTGTGTAGCGAAAATAACCATATTTTTAAATCAATTTTAAATATATATATATATATATATATATATATATATATATATATATATATATATATATATATTACATAATAATGACAAATATTTCTTGCATCTACCAAAACACGTAGACCGGCGAATTAGGGAGAATAACGCGTTTACGGAGAGCACATTCTGTAAATAAAGTGTTAAGAAATTAATGGAGAATAGATAAATAAAAAGTTCAATAAAAATTTTCCCAGATCCTGACTCGTATGGTAGGAGTAAGATAAATAAATACATTTGACTCGTTAAAGCCCATCAGAGGATGAAACGCGTCGGTTAAGATAAGCTTTCCTTTTGTTTTTATTCACACACACACACATACACACACAAACACACACACATATATACACACACACAGATTTACATACGCACACACACACATACACACAGATACACACGCACGCATACACACACACATACACACAGATACATACGCACGCATACACACACATATATATTCAAACATATACTGTTAAAATATAACAGACAACGAATGTCTATTATGTTTGATCATTATAATAATAAACCCACTACATATAATTGGTTTTGCTACAACGATACTTTCTCTCATCTTTCGGATCTTAGTTCCATTAAACAAACACTTTTCAGAAAAACCATAGCCATGTATATTATATTAGACAGATATTAGCTGATAACACAGCAATACCCACACATACAGACGGTAAAAACAACCTTCAGATACTGGAGGTCATCTACATTAAAGCAAAGCAACCAACACTCAACAAAATTACATTTCAAACTAGTCGCAACATATTACAATGCATCTAAACACATGGTTCTGTTGATAAAATTTCTTTCTCTCACGTGGTCATGTACGACCTCATAGAACCGTATTACGAATTTACGACCTGCGTCCACTATTCAGCGACAGTTATCGTCGCATAGCAAACTTCTATGTAAACATAACAGGATGTTATCTTTGATGGTAAACATCTCTGTTGTAATGTCCATATAACCACTCTGATGATGGTTTAAGTGAGTCGAAACTTAGATCGAGGAAGAGCGTAATAAAAAAATATCCAAATGTTGGACAGTTTTTGTCCTTATTTTTTCCCGAAACTAAAGCCACTATACGAAGCTTAAAATGATCAAACATAATAGACTTTCGTTGTCTGTTATATTTAACAATATATGTTTGAACAATGATCTGCTGCACTAAATTCACACACACACATATATATATATATATATATATGTATATATATATATATATATATATATATATATATATATATATATATATATATATATAATTCATTTTAACTAATGCCATTGAGAAAAGCACTGGCTTCATTTTTCTATAAAACCTGTTCTATCTCCGTATATCATGGCAAAATGTCTCCTCACTGTCATGCCACAATGGCTGATGGAGGAAAAAAATTAACACTGCCGTAACTAACTTACCACCAAAGCAGTAATAATAATAAACAATAAACAGCTTTTACATCCATTGTCATCCTCGTCTGTCTCTTTCTCTTTCTCACACACACACACGCACACATCTATCTATCTATCTTGCTTTGGGGCAGTAATTTTTCATTTATATATATATTATTAAATATGACGGATTTTGAAGACTTTGTTCTACGAGTTTGTCCTGGAATGTAGTTATATTTTTCCTTGTTAGTTATGGCGCCACGTATTTTGAATAATGTATGTATAAATAAAAGATTCACGGCTCAAATATGCATTATTCAAAATTTATGACATCGCAGCTTTCAAGGAAAAATACCACTACATTTCAGTAAAAAAACAAATTAATAGTACAATTCCTTGTCTGTCGTATTTAAATATATATATATATATATATATATATATATGAAGAAAGAAAAATATACTGAAAAAACAAACAAAAATCCTAATATGCGATTATGCTGTTTTAATGTTTAATGTCAAGGTCGGACGTTTCGGTCTAATAGACCATCTTCAGGACATATTCATAAAACATAATTAACATAGACCATATACAATTCAACATGAAAAAGACGATGGACATAAAAGCAATACCAATCCAAACAGATAACTGAAATCTTTTATCAGATCAGCGTTCCGTTTAAATATGATCACGTCGTCGTCACGTGGGCGATGTTGTGAAAACGTATTCCTAAAATTTGAGTATTTTGAATGAAAAACGAAAATAATTTTATTTTGATTTAAAACTTATATGTTTTATGAATATGTTCTGAAGATGGTCTATTAGACCGAAACGTCCGACGTTGACATTAAACATTAAAACAGCATAATCGCATATTAGGATTTTTTTTCAGTATATTTTTCTTCATACTGTCGGATCTATATCCATATATTTGCTTTTATATATATATATATATATATATATATATATATATATA